GGGGAGATGCTACAAAAATACCTGACAAAAGCAGGGGGTTACTGAGCACGTGACCTTTCCACCATTGCAATTTCAGGCATGAAGCTACCAGCCAACATGATTTCAGAAGAGGGATGGATATACATGTCCGACTGATAAGAGTTATTGGCAGCTGGTTGTGGGGAGTTCTGCAGTCTCAATCCAGAACATACACCACTCAGGGGCAAACATTTTCCAAGACATGAATTCTGTTGGGTGGGAATGCTTGGCCTTGGACACCGGCTACTCTTCTGCTGAGCGGCTCTATTCCATTGTGGGTGCATAAAGTGCCATCAGGTCACAGCCAGTTTATGGCAATGCTGTAGGATTTTCAAGGCAAGAGATAAGCAGAGGTGGTTTGCCATCACCTGCCTCTGCATAGCAACCCTAGGCTTGCTTGGTGGTCTCCTCTCCAAATACTAACCTGGGCAAATCCTGCTTAACTTCCAAGATCTGATGAGATCAGACTATCCTGGGCCAGCCAGGTCAGGCCTCTACTCCATTCAAGGAGCTTGAGCTGGAACCTCCACCATAGAGCAAAACCCCAGGAAACTTCCAGGGTGGGCTCCGGCCTTGATGCAGCTAGTCCAAAGAAGTGCCTTTCATAGATTTTAATGCTGGAGCCCAACAGCAGCCTGATCATGCTGCCTAACCTGATCACATCAGAGAGTGGGAGTGTAAAGCAGGGTTGCCCACTATTAGTACTTGGATGGGAGATCGCCAAAGAAGATTGGGGTTGCTATGCAGAGGCAGGGAATGACAAATCACCTCTGTTCATCACTTGCCTTAGAAAGCCCGTGGCCCTGTGCTTGCCATACGTTGGTTGAGACATGACAGCACATAATTATTATTCTGGCTCCAAATGTGTTTGTCCCATGCAAGGTCCTAATCAGCAAAAGGCCTGAAAATAAACAGTGCTTCAGAATGGAAGGGAGGCTCCAGCCCCTTGGGCCTGCAGAGGGTGTGTGGAAAATTTCTGATGGACCAACAGCTGACTCAGAAGTGAAACCAAAGTGGATGTGTTCTACAGTCATCTTAGGCCTGTGTGGCAGCATTTTTTTGTTTTTAGATGTGCAGGCAGGAGGAGAGAGATCTGTAATGGGTGTGCACTTTTAAACCTATTTTATTAGTGCAGAACACTAATGTATCATGTTCTGACTGCGTGGTCAGCTTGGGCGCCACACGGTCAAGCGCAAGCGTCGAGCTTCGCTCCAATAAACAAAGGACGATGTGGATCCTAGCCTGCACCAATCAGAGGGCTAGGCTCCGGGCCGAATGCCTATGGGACTCTCGGCCACTAGTTAGGACCTATTGGGAAGTGGGGGGGTGTTCTGGGTGGTGGATTCACGGGGGATATAAGCCTGCAAGCCGGCTAAAGTTGTCTTGTTCTGCACTAATAAAGTATGCTAAGCTGAATCACTTGTCCATCTGCGTACTTTTCACCCGCCCATGCTTCCCAGTGGGTAACACAAACAGAAATGGACCATGTCTATCTGACCAAGTGTTCCTGCCAATGAAGGGATGGGGTCTCAGTGGGGTTAGATGGCACCTTACTCACCTTCTGGACACTGGGTCCTCTGCACCGTGCATCTCCGGAGCTCTGTGGTGGCTGGACACAAGGACACATCCCCGGTAGGGGCCTGGAGGATCTTGCGGGAACGCCCTTCGTTGCCCCTCCTGAAGCCGCACCGTTTTTTTCTCTTGGAGCAAGGGCCCCATGGACCCCACTCGCTCATTTCACATTGTGCTGCCCCAAAGAAGAGAAGGAAAAAAACCTTGTCTTCATTTCAGCTTGCTTGCTTGGGAGAAGTAGCCATCACCCCAAATAGCAGCACCTCCCCCACACACACACACACCCATTTTGGAACACTGAGATGCTTCGATGGGCTCCCACTGCCCTGCTCATCCTTGGTTGAGTAAAAGTCTGAAAGAGGTGTGGGGTTTCTGAAAAATTAGGAGTATGCCTCCCTCAGCATTACTGATATCCATCCAGATGTGGATAGTGAAAGATCGACATGGCAGGAGAGACAGAAGATCAACATGGTACTTGCCTTGCTCACTGGCCTGACTATCAGCAGCTGCATAACATCTGGCTGACGTTGTTCTCCTACTCTGCAGGTACTTGGCCTAGCATGTACTCTAAAGCCTTCCTTCCCTTCAAAATTCCTGCATTTCCTTGGGTTACTAACCTCCAGGGAAGGTCCAAAGTTCTTGCAAAATTACAATGGATCTCCAGACTAGTGTTTCCTCTAAGCTGAGTAAGTGTGAGCTAGTTCATAGTTTTTTAGCCTCAGGCTCACACATTTTTGTCTTACCTCAGGAAGGGTGGCTCCAGAGCAAACTAATTTATGCAGTAGCCAAATAGCTTCCTCACAACTTTAATGTTAGTAGCTCACAAAGTAGAATTTTTGCTCACAAGACTCCACAGCGTAGAGGCAGCATTGCTCCAGACTACAGAGATGTGAGTTCCCCAGAAGGAAACTTCAGCTTTGAAGGGTAGATTCTATGCCATTACATGCCCACTGCGATCCTTTCCTAGGCACCACCCACTAAATCTCCAGGAACTTCCCAAGCTGGAGTTGACAACCCTAAGCCCAGCTGGAGGCCATTTTGGCCTTCTGCATAGGGTTGCCAACCTCCAGGTGGTAGCTGGAGATCTCCCACTATTACAACTGATCTCCAGGCAACAGAGATCAGTTCCCCTGGATAAAATGGCTGCCTCAGAAGTTGGACTCTTTATGCCCCAAACCCTGCTCTCCTTAGGTTCAACCCCCCCCCCCAAATCTCCAGGTATTTTCCAACTTTGAGCTTGAAGTTCTGCTTCTGTCTCAGGAAACTTCCAAGCTTTTCCAGTCACCTCTACCTCTGAGAAGATGTCTGTTTAGGAAAAGTAGCCTAAAGAAATGTGGGGGTTTTGTGGGGAGGGGAGGAGTCCAGCAAAAGCATCTCAACCTGTTCTCTTGCCCCCCCCCCCCAGGCAAAATGGGCTTGAGCTATCAGCAGAGGCAGACTGACTGCCCTCTGCCCTAGTGTTGCCAAGCTCCAGGTGGTATGCAAACCACCAAAAATACTATACAAATAAAGCATTAGACAACAAATTGTGTCCTTAAAATGAATTAGTATTTTCTTTTACAGTCCTTTCTCACCACTCCCATTTTGTCTCTAAACACAGTCACAAATGAAGTAGCTATGGATCGCCTAGGTTGCTGTCCATTTCCTCTGACTGCTTCAGGCTGCTGTCTCAGTGGTGGAGCCCTAAAAGTTCTAGATGTTAACTCTGCTTTTGCAGTCTATCTTGCTTCAATTTGGCTCTCTTGCTGGGCCCACCATTGAGACAGTGGCCGGAAGCAGACAGAGGAAATGGGCGGCAACCTAGGCGATCCATAGCCGCTTCATTTGTGACTCTGTTTAGAGACAAAAAGGGAGTGGTGAATAACTTCTGTGAAGAAGGACTGCAAAAGGAAATACTAATTCATTTTAAGGACACAATTTATTGTCTAATACTTTATTTGTACAGTATTTTTTGGTGCTTTGCATACTTGCCTATGCTGTACACCCATTCGTGGTTGACTTTAACCTCCAGGTGGTAGATGGAGATCTCTCGCTATTACAACTGACCTCCAAGCGACAGAGATCAGTTCCCCTGGAGAACATACCTGCTTTGGAAGGTGGACTCTATGGCAATGTATGCTATTGTAGTCCCTCCCCACCCTCCGCAGACTCCATCCCCCAAATCTCCTGGTATTTCCCAACCTGGAGCTGGCAACCCTGCCCTGCTTCCCCGCCAGATCACATGACTCACCAGGACCGCTGCATTCTATAGTGCCGTTGGCAGCAAAGGAGCCTTCGGGACAGGCTGTGTAACACCTCCCTTTGTGCAAGAACAAGCCTTCCTTACACTTTGTGCAAAAGTTTCTGCTGAAACAGTCCTCACAGTTCTCAATTTTGCATTCTGTGTCCAATGGGAGGAAAATAAAACAAGAGAGCTCAAATTAGCCCTTCAAATGTAACGTTTCTTGCTTACGATGCCCGTAGTTTGGCTTCCATCAAAAGACAGTGGCCAGGAGAGCTCACTTGTTTCATGTGGGGCCATCCCAGAATGAGGAGAGGAGAAAGAAGTCCTGGATCAGCCTTGTCTCCTGCCTACTTGAGGAATGCAACAATTGCCTCAGATGGCTGTTTCCCCCCCCACCACCACCACCCATGTTGATGACTTTGTAGGAAGAGTTCTGCTGAAACTAAGGCTGAAGGTACACTACCACAAAGAGGCACAAAGGGGAGGGGTGTGTGCCTCAGTGGCAGAGTCTCTGCTGGACATGCAAAAGGTCCCAGGTTCAATCCCCAGCATCTCCAGCTAGAGGATCTGGCAATAGATGACGTGAAAGACCTCTGCCTGAGATCCTGGAGAGCTGCTGCCAGTCTGAGCAGACAATATTGACTTTGATGGACCAAGGGGCTGATTCAGACCTGGGTTCAAATCCCCAATCTGCCATGGAAGTTTGCAGGGTGACTTTGGGCCAGTCCCATATTCTTAGCCCCAGCTATTTCATAGGGTTATTGTGAAGATAAAATGGAGAAGAGAACAACATAAGCTGCTTCAGGTCCCCATTGGGGAGAAAGGTGGGGTATAAATGAAGCAAATAAATAGGAAGTAAAGACATCCAGATAACAGTTTGTGGGGAGGGACAATGGCGCGCTGGTTCCTCCTCCAGTGGAAGACATGCTACTTTAGAGGATCTCAGCCCTCTGTATTGCCCTGGGTAACTCCGTAGTAGCCTTGAGTCTCCTGGGAGAGGACAGCATGAGCTGCTTTCTGGGGAACATTCTCACTCTCATGCTTGTCAACAGAGCCTTATCTTGAAGGCATGGTTGTTTCTTCCACCCACTGGAAGCCAGGTGTGAGATGGCCTGGCTCATCCAAGTGTTTGGGATAGCTGGGATCTTTCTAGAGTTCGTTGTATTTATTTCCACAACGGGCCTTATTTCTAGTATATAAATATTGTATAAATGTCATACAACAGTTATGGTGGAAAGATGGCATTAAAAATCCAAACAAAATGGAAACCAGCAGTGAAAATTGCCATAACAAAAAGGCTCAAAATGGGCTCTTCCAGTTTATGGTGGCGTGCTAGCAAACTCACCTCCTGGACCTCCCAAGGGTGAAGGTTATGCTCTTGGTCTCAAGGGTTTGGCTCAGCTCCGCTGCATGTGCATGCGCGTCTCGAGGCCAGCTGATTGGATCTGAGCCCTGAATCTGCTTTGATAACTGTGATGTGTCAGTAACGCTCTCCTCATAAGTAAACCCAGATCTCTCATGTCAGTTCTTTGGGAACTTCTGCAAACCTATGGAGCCTGTGGCCAGGGTCCATAGCATGTTCTTATATGGATAACACATTTTCTCTCCTCATCTCACAGGATGAAAATTGGTTGAAAGGAACTCATGAAAAGCCCACCAGATTTTTTAAAAATTCCACTGGAGCTGCAAAAAGGAGATTTTAGGTGAAAATAAATGGCAAAAGTAGGGATACGTCTTTGGTTTCTGGTGCCACATTGAAAACAATCTGAGCAATAGCAAGCTATCAATAAGGAAAAACGATGAATTCAAAACTTTTACAAGACAATGGCCCCGGTCACACAGGCCGGATATTGCGGGGAGGAGGCGTGGCTAATTGCCCTGGTGCAGTTTGATCCGCGATTACGTGATCAGACGCACCGGCAGCACACCACGGGTCCTTTCCTCAGCGCCGGCGGGTAAACGAGAGTGGCAATCACACAACGATCCTGCAGCACGGCAAAGAAGCGGCGCGGCGTGATCACACCAGCAGTGGCTAGGCGCCACTGCCGTGACAAACGGGGTCATTTTTTTTAAAAGCCGAAACGGAACTTTCGCTTTCCTTTTTGTGCACATGCGCCATTGGGTGCTTGTGCACATCTTGTGGAGATTTTGGGGGAAAAACCCTGTTTGCGAAGGGACATGGGCGGGCGCCAGATGCCACCACCGGAAACACGATCAGACGCCAGCCCTTGCCCCATGGTTTCCGGAAACTAGTACCTCGGAGGTACTAGTTTTTAACTCCGCATCTTCAGTGGGAAGCCTTCGGTTCGCCACGGGAGCTCTACGCTTCCCAGATGTTGCGGTGTGATTGCGCCTGGAAAATCCGCCTATCTTCCGTCTCTGTAGCGTGGCTAATGCTCCATATGACTGTAGCCAATGTTGTTTGAAATGTGGTGTCGGAGGGAAATTTTGCATGTACTGTAGACCAGAGGTGTCGAACTTAAGGCCCGCAGGCCGAAAGCAGCCCACCCATGGCTTTAATCAGGCTCATGGCTCTTCCTGCCTCCTCCCTCTCCTGTCCTCACCCTTTGAAGCTTGAGGCTGTGGAAATTCCCAGCTCCCTCCATCTTGTCTTTGCCTGCAGCAGGAAGCTCTTCTGGGCTTGCAAAGTTACAAAGAAAATACGGAATGGATTTTTCCATTAAAGTCTCTGCACCTAGATAGACTACTCTGGGATTGTTTCCAGCAATATAAACAGTGCTCTGGGACTGGAATGACAGCCCCCAGAGTACAATGATGGTCCCTAGCAATAGAATCTGTGTTCTGGGACCGGAATGACGGGGTACAGAGTGAATGAGAGCCCCTGGGAGCAGTGTTCCCTCTAAGCTGAGTTAGTGTGAGCTAGCTCACAGTTCTTTAGCCTCTGGCTCACCCATTTTCGCCTTAGCTCAGGAAGGATGGCTCCAGAGCAAACTAATTTATGCAGTAGCCGGATTGCTCACCAGTTGCTCAGAAATTAGAATTTTTGCATCCAAGACTCCACAGCTTGGGGAGAGCATTCCCTGGGAGTAGCAGCAGCATTCTGGGGATGGAATTCCACTCCAGGGGGCCTCATTCCAATCCCAGAACACTTCTGCTACTCCCAGGGATTGTTGTTTCACTCTGGGGGCTGTCATTCCAGTCCCAGAGTAGTCTATCTGGGCCCAGAGACCTTATTGGGAAATCCATTCTGTCTTTTCTTTGCAACCTTGTCTGTGCTGTGCTGCCATGTATTTCAGTGGAGTGGAGCTCAAGTAGTTTCACTTTCCAGTGTTTGCACTGCTGAAGCTGCTGCTTGCCTGAGTTGTCCCCTTGCAAATGCAGGGTTGATGTTTTGAGCCAGCTTGTCTCTGCTGAATGGACATGAGAACTGGTTCCTGAGTGAGTACTCTAACCTGGGAACCAACAGCCAAAGGGGAACATTACATTGGACAGCCACTGCCACTCTGAGTATACCTTGGGGGGGGGGGAGAAGCTTGCAATGCCCAGCCATTTCATGTTTTCCTAGGCTCAGAGTATTTTATATTTTTAGTTTGTATTTTAGTTTCTGCTGTGATCCTTGTGTTTTTTCTTGATGTTTTGTTTTTAAAATTGCATTGCCAAATCCCACTATTCCCCCACCTTTCTATTTTAGGCAGACACCTTTGGTGGTGGTGGGGGGTTAGGAGGTGTCATTTATCAAACACTGTTAAATAAACAAAATACCACAAGAGTTTTAAGCATATTTGTATTTTAAGTAAAAAAATCTTTAATTGTGTTTGTATCTTTTATAATGTTTATATCTCCACTACCTGGCATTACATTTTATGACACGCATGATCTGGCCCCACAAAGTCTCATTTATATTAGATCCAGCCCTTGTAACAAATGAGTTTGCTGTAGACTGTCAAAAAGGACAAATCAGTGGGTTCTACTTCAAATCAAGCCTGAATTCCCCCTAGAAGCTAGAATGACCAAATTGAGACTGTCAGATTTTGGTCACATCATGAGGAGACAACTCCCTGGAAAAGGCAATAATGCAAGAAAAGTGGAAAGCAGTAAGAAAAGAGGAAAATCCAACATGAGATGAATTGACTCGGTCAGGGAAGCCTTCAGTTCGCAATACGTGAGCCAGGCTGGTAATGATAGGATATTTTGGTGGTCATTCATCCATAGGGTTCCCTAAGTCAGAAGCGACTTGACGGCCCTTTACACTCACAAGACAATGATGTTGCTGTGGCCTTTCCCACCAACTTGGCTTGGGAGGCTTAAATACTGACCTCCACCCCTCTCTCCTGTTGGAAAAGGCAATGTCTGGTGTACAGAGAAGAAGACCCTGCAGGGCGCAGCAAGAAAATTAGATAGGACAGTGAGGTCAGCACCTTCTCTCTCTTGTTAAGTGTCATTCCTTGTCTGTCTCCAGATTGCTACTCTCAGGGCCATTTCCCCCTTCTTCTAGGAAGTGCCACATTCAGTCTTACCCTCTCTCTCAACTACAGATGTAGTTAGGAACCTATCTCTGTCTCTCCTCTTTCCTATCAAGAATATTAATTCCTAAATAAACCTTTATCTACTCTTGAGTCAGGTTGTGCACCATTGCTGTGTTAATTACTCCTTCCAACATCCCCCCCCTCCCCTCCCCTTCCCCACTCACTGATGCATTTGTTCATATCTGGGTTGCGCACATCAAAGTAGCCCAAGGGACAAGAGGGCAGGCAGATTCCAATCTGCCGGATGTCATTCCTCTCCAGAAGGATGAAGAGTTTCGGTGAACACTTGAGGCACCCGTTGAATTCAGAGCACAGCTCGCATCCTTTGGCACACCCCTGGCTCATCTCTGTACTGACTGGAAGAGAGTGAGAGAAAGTGAGAGAGAGATTTGTTAGCAGTGTAGAGCAAGATCACATGCCACCTCCTTGGGAACATTTTTTGGTTTGGTTTTGCCATCAGGTCACAGTCACAGCTGATTTATGGCGACCCTGTGGGGTTCTCAAGGCAAGAGATGTTCAGAGGTGGTTTGCCCCTTGCTTGCCTCTGCATCATGACCCTGTTATTCCTTGGAGGTCTCCCATCCAAATATTAGCCAGGGCCAACCCTGCTTAGCTTCTGAGATCTGACAAGATCAGGCTAGTCTGGGATATGCAGGTCAGGAACCTTTGGAACACAGCAGGTTCTTATCAACACCAGGATTTCATGTCTAGAAAACAGCCTCTCTCTGTCAGTGGCTCACTGGCTGGTCACCAATTAGGCTATATATTTCTCTCTCTAGGTGAACCTGGCCTTTTCTTCATTGAAAACAATGAAGTAATTCAGGTCCTTGTGCAGAGAAGTCAAGTCAGCTTCAGACAAATGAAGCCATTGCCCAACAGTGTCCTCAGATGGAGGACCCGCTTAAATTGCTACTCTTCACCCTCCGGTTCGTACAGTGAATCCATGCAATAAGGAATGAACAGGGAAGTTAGGATGCAACTGGGAATCCACCTCAGTGCAAGGACACCAATCACTCCTGAAAGCCAGCACAAGCACACCCAACTTCCCGTCTGGTTTTCACTTGTGAGAGCCAGTTTGGTGTAGTGGTTAAGTGCGCGGACTCTAATCTGGGAGAACTGGGTTTGATTCCCCACTCCTCCACTTGCACCTGCTGATGTGACCTTGGGTCAGTCACAAGCTCTGGCACAGCTGTTCCTGAAAGAGTAGTTTGTGTCAGAGTTCTCTCAGCCCCACCCACCTCACATGGTGTCTGTTGTGGGGATGGAAGGGAAAGGAGTTTGTAAGCCGCTCTAAGACTCCAAGTGAAGGGCGGGGTATAAATCCAGTCTCTTTTCTCTTCTCTTCTCTTGTGCATGGGGAGAGGAGCTCTTAAGCAGCATGTGTGACATCAGCCTTCTCAGGAAGGCAGAAATTTTAGGGTTGCCAACTCCAGGTTGGGAAATTGAGGATGGAGCTTGAGGGAGGTGGGGTTTGGGGAGGGAACTCAGTGGAGTATAATGTCACAACATCCACCCTCCAAACCAGCCATTTTCTTCAGGGGAACTGATCTCTGTAGATAGTTATAATTCCAGGAGATCTCCAGGCTCTGCCTGGAGGTTGGCAACCCTGGGTAGAAAAGAAATGTCTTAGGCATATAAATGCTGCAACAGCATTCCATGACTCCTTCCAAGTTGTTTCTACTTGCTTCTAGGTGGGCCCAAGGGAACAGCGGCTGCATCCACAGTAGACATGGCTGCAGTTAGTGGGTGTTGCCATTACAAATCCATTTTATTGCTGTCATATTTAGTGGGCCTCATGGGGAGATGCATCTGCCCAGGAGATTACAGCTCTGGCTGATGAACTCTGGCTGGCTTGCTGAGGCTCCTAGTTCCTAGTGCAGCCTTTCCACATAGAGTTTGCTGCTCTCTAGGTGGAGCCTGGAGTTCTCCCGGAATTACATCTGATTCCCAGATTACAGAGATCAGTTCTCCTGGAGAAAATGGCTGGTTTGGAGGGCAGTCTATGGAATCGCATACTCCCTGGCCTCTCTGCTCCTCCCCACTCTCCCCTCCTCAGGCTCTGCCCCCCAGTCTCCAAGAGTTCCTCAAGCTGGAGCTGGCAACCCTACTTCCACCCTCCAGCAAAGAAAAGGCAGTTTCTAATCCTTTACTGTTGTGGGAGTATGGGATGGGAGGGGAGCAAAGTTGGGTGGCTGGGATATAGATCTCCCAGAATTTGATATCCCAGAATTAAAACTGATCTCCAGAGTACAGAGATCAGTTCCCCTGGAGAAAATGGCTGTTTTGGAGAGTGGACTCTAGAGCATTATAATCCACTGAGGTCTTTCCCTTTCCTAAACCTTTTCCTCCCCTTCCGTCACCCCCAAATCTCCAGGAATTTTCTAACCCAGAGTTGGCAACCAAGGAACAGCAGATGTTATACAAGAAAGGGAGCTGAGTGGAGCACGCAGCCTTTGCCAGGTTCCTCTGGAGTCACTCTTTCAGTTCACTACCCGCAAGGGTTCAGGAAGAGTTGGCCAGCCCTTTCTGAAAGAGGCTGCATAGCTGTAACATCACTCCCCTGCCCCCATCCTGCTCACACTCCAACTTCTCATTGTTGGGGCAAAAGGCCAGTTCTGGGCACAGACTCACTCGGGCCTTTCTGTTTTGGCCAACCAAAACATCCAGTTCTATGTCTAAGTTGCTTTCTGGTATCAATTACCACAGACAACTGGGCCTGGTTTTTAAACAAACCGTCTCAGGTTATTTATACTGGTTAGTTATGCAAGCATTGCCTTTTGTTTATAGCCAGTCAACATCTTTTGGACTTTATTTTAAACACATTATTTATTCTTCCTCTAAAGCAAGTGCTGGGACATTCCTGAGAGATTTCTTGGGGGGGGGGGAGGCAGGAATTCTACTAAAGGCAGAATGCTCCCAAGGGCTTCTATGACATGCCATTATTGGGACAACCTCAGCACCAATCGTCAGCCTGGCCCCAGTGAATGACAACAGTCACAAGTAGAGTCACCAACTTTGGGTTGGGAAATTCCTAGAGATTTGGGGGTGCAGCCTGGGGAAGGTGGGATTTGGGGAGGGGATCTCAGTAGAATTATAACACGATAGAGTCCACCCTCCAAAGCAGCCATTTTCTCCAGGGGAACTCATCTTTGTCATCTGGAGATCATTTGTAACTCTGAGAGATCTCAGGGCCCCACCAGGAGTTTGGCAACAGCCACTGCACCAGGTGCTCCAGACTGTATTGGACATTACTTGTATACATTCATGTTTTAAAGCAGCAGTTCCCCATATGAAACTGAATTCTTCCCCTGTCTTTTTAGAATTTTCCAGGCCTGTCTACACTATATTCCCCTTTCTTTCTCAACAACCATAAGAACATCAGAAGAGCCCTGGTGGATCAGGCCAATCGTCCATCTAGTCCAGCATCCTGTCTCACACAGTGGCCAACCAATTCCTCTGGATGGCCAACAACAGGGAACAGAAGCCGAGGCCTTCCCCTGATGTCGCCTCCTGGCTCTGGGATTCAGAGATTCCATGCTTCTGAATGTGGAGGTTCCCCTAGGTCAACATTGCTAGTAGCCACTGATAGGAGCCACCCTCCATGAATCTATCTAATCCCCTAGGGTTTTCAAGGCAAGTGAGGTTCAGGAGTAGTTTGCCATTGCCTGCCACTGTGTAGCAACCCTGGACTTCCTCATTGGTCTCCTATCCAAGTATTACTAAAAAAATGACCCTGCTTAGCTTCCAAGATCTGATGAGACCAGGCTAGCCTGGCCCATCCAGGTCAAGGCTACTCCCATTTTTACACACAGGCTTACTTAAGGTTACCCTTTAGTTGCACATTTTCTGAGCACTGAGAACACAACCCTTTTGCACCTGCAGAAAGAAGACACTTTGCCACTGTTCAGTGCTGGTGCAAATGTTGTCTGGGTGGCTGGCACAGCTAGGTGGAGGGCGGATGTGCTTCTCTTTGAGTGGCAAGGAGCCCTAAGCCCCCAGCAAGGCTTTCATCATGTTATGAACCTTGAATTGTATGTGGGTGTGGGGTGGGGGTTAAAAGTCCCTGCTGAGGCAGTGCCTTCTCACACTGTGCTATTCCTCTACAAGGGCATATCAAGCTAGTATTTTTGAGAAAGAGAGCAAATTCTCCAGCTGCATTATTGTTTTTAAAAGAATGTAAAAGCATTTCTGGAGTACTCCCAGTGACTGTGTAGGCAGGGATGCTGGCAAGAAAAGACCTTTTAAGATCATCGTCTGAATAATCTGTTTTTATCTTTTAAGTTTATAATATCCAGCCTAGGGTTGCCAATCTCCAGGTGGGGTCCAAAGATCTCCTGGAATTACAAGTCATGTTCAGATGACAGTTCCTTTGGAGCAAATGGTGACTTTGGAGGGTGAACTCTATGGCATTATATCCTGCTGGGCTCCCGCCAATCCCCAAACCTTGCCCTCCTCAGGCCCCTCCACCAAATCTCCAGGAATTTCCAAATCCAGAATTGGCAACCCTAATCCAGCCCGAAGAAGCATTCTGGTGACTTGAAAGCTCGCACACAGTTTTCTGTCATTTTGGTGGTCCTAATCCTATATATATAATTGCCCTAACGTGTTGGCCATTTCCAACTCTCCCACTGACTGTGCTGTGTACTCCATCAGCCATTGGCCCATCAACTGCCACTCAAGAGTACTTGCGTGCCATTGGCTGGATGCTGGGTCTTCTCCTCTCCCCCTCCCATTGGCATCCTGGATACTCTTCTGTCACAGAATAAACTGCCAAAACGGCTGTCTATCCCGATGAAGACACTTCTGCTTGGCTCCTGTGGGACTTTTCCCTCAGTGGCTGTTGCTAGGCAACCAAGCTTGGTTCTGTCAGTAAAAAGCCAAAGACAGGAGGCCCTTTCCTGTCCTTTGGGGGAACTCATTGGGGCCCGTCCTGGCTAGGGGTTGCCAGCTCCAGGTTGGGAAATTCCTGGATATTTTGTGGTGGAATCTACCAAAACCAGAGTTTGGGGAGGGGAGAGGCCTCAGCTGAATAGAATGCCATAGAGCCCACCCTCCAGATCTGTTGTCTGGAGTTCAGTTGTGATACTCAGCGATCTTCAGGCTCCACCTGGAGGTTGGCTACCCTAGGCGTAGCAGTTAGCACTTCAAAGCAGGGTCTGTCAGACCCAGGTTCTTGCTGTGGAAGTTGAGTGGGTGATTTTGGACCAGTCACAGACTTTCAGCCTAACTGGGAGCCAGTTTGGTGTAATGGTTAAGTGAGCGGACTGTAATCTGGGAGAACCGGGTTTGATTCCCCACTCCTCCACTTGCACCTGGCTGGATGACTTTGGGCAAGCCGTAGTTCTGATAAGAGCTGTTCTTGAAAAAGAGCAGTTTCTGTCAAGAGCTCTCTCAGCCCCACCTACCTCACAGGGTGTCTGTTGTGGGGAGGGGAAGGGAAAGGAGTGTGTAAGCCGCTCTGAGACACCTTTGGGTAGTGAAGGGTGGGGTATAAATCCAATCTCTTCTTCTTCTTCTAACCTATCTCACAGGATTGTTGTGCAGATCAAAAGGGGGAGAGGAGAATGATGTAAGCTGCTTTGGTCTCCACTGCGGAGAAAGACGTACTTTTCCTCCTGGGGAACCATTGCTGCCAATCTCCAGGTGAGGGCTGGAGATCACGTAGAATTAAAACTGCTCTCCAGATGGCAGAGATCAGCTCCCCTGGAAAAAATGGCTGCTCTGCAGGGTGGACTCTGTGTCATTATACCCTGCTGAGGTCGTTTTCCTCTTGCTTGGATCCCCAATGTGGAGAAAGACTGTAGTTTTCCCAGATAGAGGCTGCAGGTGGGGGGGGATGGAAAGCTGAAGTCAGAGGGGCAGGTAATAGTAAGCTGATGGTTGGCTGGGACTGAGATAGGGTTGCTAACTCCAGGTTGGGAAATTCCTGGAGATTTGAGGAATGGAGTTTGGGGAAGGTTGGGTTTGTGGAGGGGTGGGACCTCACACATGTACAATGCCATAGACTCCCCCCTCCAAACCAGCCATTTCCTCCTGGGGAACCATTGTTACCAATCTCCAGGGGAGGGCTGGAGATCACTCAGAATTACAACTGTTCTTCAGATGGCAGAGATCAGCTCCCCTGGAAAAAATGGCTGCTCTGCAGGGTGGACTCTGTGTCATTATACCCTGCTGAAGATGCCACAGCAAATTGCCGCTGAGTGCCCAAGGCCAGGGCACCTACCCAAAGTCTCTTTCTAGAGCTCGTTGTATGTATTTCCACAACAAGTCTTATTCCTAGTAAAATATATTTTTCCTCTAAAGCAAGTGCTGGGACATTCCTGAGAGATTTCTGGGGGGGGGGAATTGAGGGTGGAGCCTGAGGGAGGTGGGATTTGGTGAGGGAACTCAGTGGGTACTTAGTCTTTGCCTCTTGCCTTTCAGTGCTTCACCTGAATTGTGATTTGTTTTCTTTGACTTTGGATCAGCATGGCTGTAAAGAGGGAAAAGCTATACTTGCCCTGACCATCAGAATTCTCCTATTTGCTCTCCTGTCAGGACTACTCATCAGCCATGGGCAACATTCTAAAGCCCTATACCCTCTTCTCACACAAAGGCCACAAACATATAGGGTTGCCATCTCTAGGGGAGGCCTTGGAGATCTCCTGGAATAACAATCAGTCTCCAAGAGGAGAGATCAGTTCCCCTGGAGCAAATGGTTGTGTTGGATGGTGGACTCACACCTGTGCTGAGCGCTCTGTTCCCAAATCTCCAGGAATCTTCCAACCAGAAGTGGGCAACCATAGACACTACAAATAGCCAGCCTGTAAAAATGGTCTTTGGTGTCTTGGGCAAGAAGGTTGTCTCCAGTGGAGATCCCCAAAAGGCCTTCAGATTATCTTGGAATCCTATAGGCTACAGCCCGTGTATTTAGCAGAGGTTGGAACATCTTAGAATGTCCAACAGAAGGAGAAGGAGGAGGATTTATACCCTGCTTTCACTTGGAGTCTCGAAGTGGCTTACAATCGCCTTCCCTTCCTCTCCCCACAACAGCACCTTGTGAGGCAGGTGGGGAGCTCTGAGAGAACTGTGACTGACCCAAGACCCATGTGCAGGAGTGGGGAATCAAATCCGGTTCTCCAAATTAGAGTCCACCACTCTTAACCAGTACGCCAAATTGGCTGCCCTCACTCACACACACACAGAGAACGTATCCCTCACCTATACGTTCCATAAGACAGACACACTGCCCTTTCTGGTTTTATGAGCATCACCCTAAGAAAAGGTTTTCCAGATCAAGCATGGTGCTTCTCACTGCACTATTAAACCCACACTTTCCTCCCCACTAAAGACATGGCTACGATAAAATTTAGGCGCATAAGCCTTGAGGCTGCTTTCACACACATTGGATAATGCACTTTCAATGCATTTTCAATGCATAGCAATAATTTCCAATTGGATTTTTTGTGTGTGAAAAAAGAAAATCCAGTTGCAAATGATTGTTAAAGTGTACTGAAAGTGCATTACCCAACATGTGTGAAAGCAGTTTTGGGTTGACATGAGGGCTGCTCATTTAGAAAAGTAGGAAAATGGGCTGGTTTGCTTCCTGAAGACCGCACTTCCCTTTCCATCCCAGCCATGATGCCGATCCATACAAGACAGCACAAAGGGTGGATTCTCTGTTGCTTGCTGACCTCCAGGTGTCTTCTGTCACCCCTGACTCCTAAGATGCCTGCAAATGTATTGAGAGAAGGAGAGCATAGCACAGGCCTGTTTCAGAGTGGCTCGCCATTCAAAGGGGTTCTCATACGTACTTCGCCTTTGCCTCTTGCCTTTCAGTGCTTTGCCACTGCCGCCGCTGCCTGTAAGATCCACTGAGTTTAGAAAAACCACCACTATAAGTAGTCCAAGCTGCATAGTAACTTCCCAGCAGCGTGGGCCCTCGAAGGTAGGGTGACTGGCAGACTCCGGTCCACAAGTGGGAGAAGTGGGGGGGGGGTGTCTCACCCCTTCCCCTAATGTCTTTGGGGCTGGATCAGAAGCACGAGTCTTTACACGACACTTGATAAGAGACCATCTTCGCAAGCCAGGGTCTTGGCCACGGTGGTCTTAGGTTGCAGTCCCCATAAGGAGTCTGAGAGCTTGCAAGGGAAAGTCCCATCTGGGGTGCCCGCGCACAGTGAGCACGGAGCTGCGTGGAGCTTCTCTGCTTGCACTAAAGAAGCTGGAAGGGAAACAGAAAGGGGGTTAATTGGAAAGTTAAACCCTTGTTGTTTTTTCTTGTTGTTGTTCTTTCCTCACTGCTGCTCTAGATCCCTGGACTGCTTCCTCCAAGGATGATTTGTGAAAACAAGGAGCTCCCAGATGGAATTCCTGGTGCTGTAATGTGATCTGTGTTGCAGGGTTGCCAACCTCCAGGTGGGGCCTGGAGAGCTGTGCTACATGAGACAGAGGCTGCGATCCTAAACACACTTATTATGTCATAGTTCAGTGAGAGTGGATGAGAGTGGAGCGCAGCTGATCATCTCTGTACATTAAACAGGGGTGCTAACTCCTGCTTGGGAAATTCCTGTGGGGGTAGAGCCTGGGGAGGAACCTCAGCGGGGTATAATGCCACAGAGTCCACCCTCCAAAGCAGCCATTTTATCCAAGGGAACTGTTCTCTATGGTCTGGAGATCAGCTGTAATTCTAAGAGATCTCTAACCCCACCTGGAGGTTGGCAAGCCTAACACTGAACAGTTTCCTTGACTGATGTGTGGGGTCCCTCCAGCCTGGAAATGCTGAACCTGAAACAGCTGCCGCTAGGATGGATGGGCTGGAGGGCCCTGGTTTTCAGCCATGCGCTAGCCTGTCCATGACATGCACCCTTCACATATCCCCAGTATAGGTTGATAGCAACAGGGAAAGCCATAGGCATCAGAAGCACAGTTCATTGTGGGCAGAGGCCATGCAAGTGAGGGCATGGGTCCTTTTCCCCTGCCATCACTGCCCGGGTGGTTGCCAGGGCTTCTCCACTGTGTTGAGATCGAGCATGTGTTTGCGCTTAGGGTGACGCTGCGTCATTCAACTGATGTGTATGGTGTGTGTGTGCTTGTAGACTTCAAATAAACAAGGAGCTGCTTGTATAAATTGAATCCTGCCTGGCTTTGGACTTGGAAAGCTGTTTAAAGCAGCCTGTGTTGCAAGCACTATCAGATGCCTCAGTGTCTTTGGCCTTCCGGGCTTCATGATGATGTAAACCAAGGAGGGGTGAGCAGCTCAGAAGCATCCAAGCAGGAATTGCCAAAGGAGGTCTCTTTTGGAGTTTGCCCCACTAAGGGGAAGACAAAAGAGAATTTTAGGCAGGGAGGCTAGATCGGGAGAACCCAATGCAAGTCTGTAACCACATGGACTTTTATAGATTCAGTGGGTAGCTGTGTTGGTCTGAAGCAACAGACCGAAGTTTGAATCCAGTGGCACTTTTAAGACCAACAAAGTTTAATTCTGGGTATAAGCTTTTGTGTGCATCTGAAGAAAGGCATCTGAAGAAGTACATATGCACATGAAATCTTATATCCAGAATTAAACTCTGTTGGTCTTAAAGGTGCCACTGAACTCAAACTTTATTCTCATTAACTTTTATAGACACTTTTAACACAGGCACACATCTAATAAAATTAACATCTCTACTCCTTTTCATGATAAAATACATAAAATATTACAATGTTGTCATATGTATGTACAGGGCTATTTTGGGGCAGGAACGCACAGGAACGGAGTTCCGGCTGGCTTCAGAGTTGGCCATGCCCACTACAGCCAAAACCTCTGTGTGCATGGCTACAGAGGGAAGGCCTGGAGAGTGACCCCCTCTGCGACTCCGAGGCAGGCGGACCAGGGGGGGGCCTGCTCCTGGGGCGCCCAGGCAAGCCACTGCCTCCCCTCCCCTCCAAGGGCTGGCCTGCCCGGCCAAGCCAAGGGAAGGCAGTTTAAACTGCCTCCCCTCCCCTCCGAGGGCCGGCTTGCCCGGGCTCCCCGCAGCCGCAGGGTGCCCAGGCAAGCCAAGGGAAGGCATGGGGTGTGGCCTAATATGCTAATGAACTGCACTGTTAGGGGTGTGGCCTAATACGCTAATGAGTATCTGCTATTGGGTGTGGCCTATTATGCTAATGAGTTCCTGCTGGGCTTTTTCTACAAAAAAAGCCCTGTGTATGTATGCTATTGGCAGAGTCGCCCTGTAAAGTTGTAACTGTTTTAATTTTTGACAGGTCTAGTCAGAATTCTGTTGTCACTTAGTAAAAGCTTGTTTAAAATGTGTTTTTAAAATATGTAACCGAAAATGTACGCTATTAGCAGAGTCACTCTGTAAAGTCATAACTATTTAATTTTTGACCATTGATCAGAATTCTATTCTATTTTTACTTGCTAAAAGCTTGTTTATGATGTTGGCCTTTTGAATTTATCTTTCACATTGTTATCAATCTCTGTTCCTGAATTACTTTGTATTTGTTATTATGGTTCTATATTGGTTTCTATATCCCCTCTTTGGCTTTATTGCTCAGTTTGTGATTTGTTTGTTGGAAAATTTGGAAATAAAATATAAATTTTAAAAAGGCCTAGCAGAAATCAAGATCTATTACATCCACGGTATTCCCATGAGCTATTTAGGCTAGTAACCAGATCAAAAACATGATATGATTAGTCTGCTGGGATTTATTCTTGACAAATCCATGCCAGCTTCTTGTAATCAGTGGATTGTTTTCAAGATGCTTTCAGTCTTGACTGTTTTGTCATCTGTCCTTGTATATTACCTGGTATCAAAGTCAGGCTGACAAGTCTGTAGTTTCTTAGATCCTCCTTTTTGAAGACAGGGGCAACATTTGCCTGATTCCTGGTCTCTGCCTTTCAGAATGTCTGAAATACAACAGAGGTTTTCATCATGAAGTTTCCTTTAAATGCCCATATAGGATCGCCAACTCTGGGTAGAGAAATTCTTGGAGATTTGTGGGGGGCGGAGCCTGGGGAGGGCGGGTTTTGGTGAGGGGAAGGGACCTCAGCAGGGCGTAATGCCACAGAGTCCAACCTCCAGAGCATCCATTTTTCCCCAGGGGAACTGATTTATGTAGTTTGGAGATCAACTGTAATTCTGGGAGGTCCATGTCCCACCTGGAGGTTGGCAAGCCTAATGCCCTAGGATGCTTTCACAACCACACTTTCCTCTGCTCTGCAGGCTGTCTGAGGATCAATCCTTACAGGGTTTCCAGTTCCTGGTTGCACTGTTCCCTCTAAGCTGAGTGAGTGTGAGCTAGCTCACAGTTTTTTAGCCTCTGGCTAACACATTTTTGTCTTAGCTCAGGAAGGAGGGCTCCAGAGCAAACTAATTTATGCAGGAGCCAAATCGCTCGCTCACAACTTTAATGCCAGTAGCTCACAAAGCAGAAATTTTGCACACAAGACTCCACATCTTAGAGGGAACATTGCCAGGTTGGTAAATTCCTGGAGATTCTTGTTCATCAACCTGCAGAGAAGGTGAGCTGCCCTCCGCTGTCTCATCCTTATGTTTTTCTTAGTGCAATCCTAGGTCTGTCCCACTGAATCACTCTGTAATAAGCATGCTTCAGATTGTAGCCTCTGCTCATGTAGCACACTAGGGTTGCAAGCTCTGGGTTTAGAAATTCCTGTAGATTTGTGGGTGGGGCCTGGGGAGGGCGGGGCTTGGGGAGGGAAGAGACCTTAGTGGGGGTATAATGTCAGAGAGTCCAACCTCCAAAGCAGCCATTTTTCTCAGGGGGGACTGATCTCTGTTGACTATAATGCAACCAAAGAAAGGGACCCACCATATTCTGTTTCCAGAGACCTATGAAGAGTCTTGCGTGGCCCTGTGTGGCGGGGCTGTGGCTCAGTGGTAGAGCATCTCCTTGGCATACAGAAGGTCCCAGGTCCAGTCCCTCACATCTCCAGTTAAAAGGGTCGGGAATGAGGTGATATGAAGAGCTCAATCTGAGACCCTGTACAGCCACTATCAGTCAGAGTAGACAACACTGACATTGATGGACCAATGCTTTTTAATTCAGTATAAGACAGTTTCAGGTATCCTTTCTCCAGTTCATAGTTATATGCCACTATGGGCACATCTGCCCCTTTCCAGCTATAGTTCTTAGGCAGATGTACTGAAGAGGAAAGGGCTGAGAACTCTGGGGCAGTTCCCAGCTCCTTCTTCCCTGACACCAGTAGCAAAGAAATGAGCTGCTGAAGACAAGCTTGGGGATCTAAAATTAAAGAGTGAAAAATCTACCCGAACTGCTAGTGCAATTTCAGGAAAGGTTAACTCTAAAGAGCTCTGATAGACTGTTCTTAAATCTCTCACAGGAGGCAGCTGCCCAGTTTGGCCACAAGTAGAGTGGTGCTGGAACAGAGATGGTTTAGCTCAAGGGCCCATTCACACATGCAGCGGAGGGAGGGATGGGGCTGAACTCCTCTTGCAAAGAGATTCTCTCTGCATGGTGCGCACCGATCTGAGTTATGTCCCCATGGGTTTCCAAGGCTGGCTGAACATGACAAAATCAATAGGAAATTCATCTCAGAAGGTACTGGCTCTAAGGAAAGAGGGCTAGGCATGAGGGGCAAATGTTTTCCTTGGTTAAGAGTTTATAGATAGTTTCTGCTTGCTGTTGTTGGATGAAGCCAAGTGGGGTGTAGTCCACTGGCTCAGATTCAAGGCATTAGGGAGGGGAAACTGGCTGTTGACGCATTTGTCCAATTTCATTAAGGTAGTTGGATACTGATTTCACCCTGACCTGGCTGGACCAGGCTAGTCCGATCTCGTCAGACAGATCATAGAAGTTGAGCAGGGTCAGCCCTAGATGCTCCTTGGATGGGAGACTACCAAGGAAGTCTGAGGTTGCTACAAGTGGCTGTGGTTACACACACTAAATAATCCATTTTCAATCCACTTTCAATGCACTTTCCAACTGGATTTTGCCAGTTTACACAGTAAAATCCAGTTGGAAAGTACATTGAGAGTGGACTATTTAGTGTGTGTGACCGCAGCCAGAGGCAGGTAGTGGCAAAGCACCTGTTTGTCCCATGCCTTGAAAACCCTGCAACTTGACAGCAGTGTTCCCTCTAAGCTGAGTTAGTGTGACCTAGCTCAGTTTTTTAGCCTCCGGCTCACACATTTTTGTCTTAGCTCAGGAAGGATGGCTCCAGAGCAAAGTAATGTATGCTGGAGCCAACTCGCTCACTCACAACTTTAATGCCAGTAGCTCACGAAGTAGAATTTTTGCTCACAAGACTCCACAGCTTAGAGGGAACATTGCTTGACAGCACTTTCCACCACCACAGATTGCTAAGAGTTTGTCTTTCCTTAAAAAAAAAATAAAGTACTAAAATGGTTCATTTTTCTTGTACACCCCCAGTAGTTATCCTTGTCTTCCCATTGACTTTTCTCATTATTTGGTACTCCTCTCCCCTGCCCCAATTCCCTGTGGTCCCCTAATCTCAAGCCCTAATGCCCCACTGTCTCTTTCCAGGCAGCCGGAGAATCCCTGTGTAAGAAGTGCTGTGGAACTACAAACAGTTCTTGCTGATATTTCACCACCCGCCTCCAGATTCCAAGGTGTGGTTCTTTGGGTGTGGAAGATCTTGCTGCAGGGCTGGATTCTGTCCTCACTCATCACCCTGGGTTCTAGGATGCAGCAGGTGGGGATGCAGTGAGATCCTTCATGCAATCAGCCCTTGGGGGAGAGGTTGAGCTGGGTCTTTGGTGCCAGCTACACACTTGTTGTTCATCTGGGGGGGAAAGTGTCTCTTTCACATTGTTGTGATTCACATCACATCTGTGAGCACAGGTGTGGTGAATTTTCAGAAGAGCGGCAAAGCCCAGCACTTGTAGAGTGATTTCAGCCACACTGTCGGGAAGCCTGCCCTCTTCTTTGTGGCCCAGGGAAACCATGCAGCATTCCTCTGAAGACTGAAGTGCCGTCAAGTTGCACCCCATGCGGTTGTCAAGGCAAGAGATCTTCAGAGATGGTTTGCCATTGCCTGCCTCTGCATAGTAACCCTGGACTTCCTTGGAGGTCACCCTTCCAAGTACTGACTAGGGCTGACCCTACTTAGCTTCCAAGATCTGTCGAGATTGGGCTAGCCTGGGTCATCTAGGTCATGGCAGGACTGAAGACACAGGATAGGGTTTTTTGAGAGAAGGAGGTAGAGAAGCATCCATACTTCTGATGCGTGCACATTCTCCCACCAGTGTGATCCTACAAAAACCTCTTCTACCAGAGTTTACAACAGAAGAACAGAAACAAACATTTCCCCCTTGGGGAAGGGTACTTCCCTGCCCACCTCTCCTCTGACTGGAGGAAGCAGACTGTGGCCTGATGCGTCACTTTGGCCAAGGGCTGGGGGGAAACTGTGGGGAACACACTCATCTCAGTAGTGCAGCAACAGCAGGTTTCATCGAAAGCAAAAGGGAAATGAGTTTTGTACTCCCAGGGCCACTTTCAATTCTCTTCCAAACAACTCTCTGTCTCCACCCTTTGATGGCAACCTGTTGAGCTTCAGCTTAAGATAAAACAAACCTTTCTAAAAAGTCAGCCTTGGGCTTGAGGGTCAGAGTAAATGAATTCCGTTAGATGCAATATGCAATTACCGCCACAAGTGCTTACGCATCTAAAGATATGATTTTGTCAGCCTGAACATATTTCTTAGATAAGTAAACTGGATAATGTGTGTCAAAGCCACTGTTCCTGGAAAGTTCTTTATGTGGTTCCCCTGGGGGTCCCTCGTCTAGGAGCAGGGGCGAGATGTTCCAGTCATTTCCTAACAGAAAACCTCTCTTCCCTTGAATTGACAGCAAGAAGATGAATCCTGCATGCCGCAGCGGCTTCTCACTCTTACCAGAGGTGTGATCCCTGTCTCACAAGGCATGCTCCCCTCAAGCACACACCCCTGCCAGCCAGACTGAACCAGGCCCCCTCCAAACCCTTACCTCCGAGCTGTCAGTTGTTCCCGGCTTGCCCGACAGAGCCCTCTCGGCTATTCTGGTTAGCCTCCAAATCCTATGGCCATCACAATTCCTTCAGAAAAAAAAGTTATCCAGCACCCCTAGTTTTCTTCTCTGCTCGTTTTTGTTGTGCCTTCAGTTTAGGGTTTTGATGTTTGTTTGTTTTTTTAAAAGGGGGGCCTTTTTCCTTCCAAAACCAGGCAAGCTAAAGATTTCCCCAGCTTTGCAGACAGACGTGATGCTGTCTCCGATCTGCCGGATTGTAGCTTGCAGAGACGGTCTGGGCTCGTTTGCACTCCATCAGCCCACACTGCTCTCGGTGCATGCTGAGCAAAACAAGAATGTGATCATAGCTGAGCCATTTGCACTATTCATAAATTCCCGGCTGTGGTGCTGCAGATCCCAGCCTCTCTGTTCACCTGGGCAGCTGTCCTCGCATCTCCGTTATCATTCCTTCATACATATCTATTATTCTGCTCTTGCAAAAGGCATCCAGTGCACACTCCGGCAGAAGGGAATCCCACCCCACTCGTACCACCTCCTAAGACAATATCCTGCCAAAATATTGCGACTGTTGCAAAACCTGGACTGGAGCTTGCAGAGTTCTGCCCAGAGCCAGCAGGAACTCAGTCAATTTCCACAGAGGGATGGGGGAGCAGGCACCGTCCCCTTTGGAGCCAGCTGCCAAGGAGTGGGTGCTAATATTTCAGTAGTAACCCGGCACAGTGTGGCCTGGCCACTGCCCCAACTGTTAAGAAACATGACACACTGTTCAACGAAGTTTGTTACCTACTTGGGAGGGAGGGAGAAAGGGAGGGAAGCAGCCTAGAGCAGGAGTGCTTGGTTGTAAGGGAGACTGGATCATGCTTACAAAGGGAAGAGATCCTTGGCAAAGTAACCTGGGAGCTCAGCACAGGGCCTGGCCTGGAAATGCGGTGGCCTCAGACAGGAGACCACAGCCTCTGTCTTACCTGAGCTGCTGCAGCCACACTCATGCTAACTCGCAGGCGTTTAATTTCCAAATGGCCCATTAGCTAGGCTTGCCAACCTCCAGGTGGGGCCTGGAGTTCTGGAATTATAACTGGTCTTCAGACTGCAGAGATCAGTTCCCCTGGGGAACATAAGATCACAAGAAGAGCCATGCCAAATCAAAGGCCTATCTAGTCCAGTGGCCAACCAGCTACCTCTAGGAAGACCACAAATAGGAAGGCTGAAACAGCATCATCCTGCCTGTGCTCCCCAGCAACTAATTTAAAGAGGCATACTATCTCTGGGACTGGAGGGCATCTTTGGAGAGTGGAGTCTACAGGATCACATCCTGGAAATCTTGTTAGTCCCTAAGGTGTTACTGGATTCCAGTCAGCTCTGTGGCAGATGATCTAATCATAATAACTCTGAGGGAGGAAGCAGACAGGAGAGACCGCTGAGGATCTTACATGGGTTCAAATTAGGAGAGATGGCTTCCCAAATACTTAGGTCCTAGGTTATATATGGTGTTAAAGAAAATTGCCAACAATTTGAATTTAACCTGGAAAAATCTGGGGAACCAATACAATGGGTTTAAATTGGGGTCCAGTGTTCCCTCTAAGGTGAATTAGTGTGAGCTAGCTCACAGTCTTTTAGCCTCGAGTTCACATTTTTGTCTTAGCTCAGGAAGGATGGCTCCAGAGCAAACTAATGTATGCAGTAGCCAAATTGCTCGCTCACAACTTTAATGCCAGTTGCTCCTGGTTAAATCAGTTCTCAACACCAGCCAGTTTGTAGAAAGCTAACTTTATTGAGACAGTTGACAGATACCATCCTAGACACATCTATTGTTAGGACTGGTTAAACGCGCAAAGGTTGTAGATATAGTGGGTTCAAGTAAAGGCACTAAAGATCAGGACCCAATCACCCCATGGTATTTGCCTTCCAGAACTAACTGTCAGCTCTCCCGCCCTTTCCCAATAGGCATGTAGCCTTTACCTAGTAAGGAAAACAGGATCATAGACATTTGAGAAGCCAGGAGATTTGGCATCGCTAGGGTGACAAGCCCCAAGCACATTAAAGAGAGCGATAGAGGAACCTCCTCTCCCGATGACAGGTGAGCTGTAAAATGCAAAATGCACAGGGAGTCTGACATACTGCCCCCCCAAGACCTCCTACCCCTTCGGTTTGTGCAGGTATTTGTTATGGAATGCCCGAGTTAAAGAGGGAGCACTAACATGTTTGTATTTCACCCACTCATTATGCGATTCATCAAAGTCCTTCTATTTAATCAAATAGTACAGTTTGTTCCGTATCAACTTAGCATCAAGTATCTCTTCCACTTCATGGTGAGGTTCACCATCAATCACCAGAGAAGGTGGAATGGCTGGACGAGGTCTCCACTCATTCGGGCCTGGATCCCCTTTTAATAGACTGAAATGAAACACAGGGTGAATATGTCTCAGATTCTTGAGTAGCTCGAGTTCCACAGCCACTTTGTTCAGAACCATCACCACCTTGAATGGGCCAATATACTTCCACCCCAACTTCCTCCCCGGTTGGATTCCCTTCAAATTCTTTGTCGAAAGGTACACTGAGTCCCCAGGCTGCAAATCCCATTCAGGAGCTTTCCCTTTATCTGCATGTTTTTTTGTAGTCCTCTTTCACCTTTTTCAGTCTCATGGATTGTGGACCATTGCTCCTTCAAGTCCCCCCAGCATGAATGTAAATCTCCCAGTTTGGGTTCCTGGGTGGTTACTGTAGGGAGGGGGGGCCCTTCGTAACCACACACAGCCTTAAAGGGGGAGAGACCAGTGGTACTATGTACTGAGTTATTATAACTGTATTCTGCGTAAGGGAGGAGGTTGACCCAGTTGTCCTGCTGGCAATTGGTGAAACACCGGAGGAACTGCTTAACCACTTGATTCACCCTCTCAGTTTGTCCGTCCATCTCTGGGTGATAGGAATTGCTTAGATCTTGTTCTACCCCAACACCTGCAGCAGCTCCTTCCAAAATTTAGCTAGGAACGCGACCCTGAGTCTGAAATGATCTTGCGAGGAACGGAATGGAGCCTCACAATGTGGTACATGAAAAGCTTGGCTAATGCTTTAGCTGAGGGCAGTTGTTTGCAAGGAATAAAATGTGCCTGCTTGGAGAACGTGTCAACCACCACCCAAATCACTGTTTTGCCTTTACTGGGTGGTAAGTCAGTTATAAAGTCCATTGAAATCACTGCCCATGGTCTCTCTGGCATTTCCAGGGGTTGTAAAGTCCCCAGGAGCTTCCCTGGTCTCCGTTTCCCCATCAGGCAAGTTTGGCAGGAACCCACGTATTGAGAAATGTCCGCCCTCATGCGCGGCCACCAGAATTGTCTTTGAAGGAGGTGCAGGGTTTTCAGGTAACCAAAATGCCCTCTCAGTTTATTTTCATGTTCCACAGTCAGGATTTCCCCTCTCAGGGTCCTAGGTACAAACACCTGCCCACCCCTATACCAACACCCATCCCCCTTCTGCTCTGCTGAGGGGTTAGTTTGGATGTCCTCCATGTCCCCGTCTGAAAAAGCTGTTTTAAACTTGCAAATCCAGGGTTCGACCTTAATGGGTGCCTCCGCTTTTGCCTGGCTGCAAGTCACTACCGCCCCCCCTCCAGCTGGGTGGGTGTGAACATCGAGTCTATGACTTCCTCTCACTGGCTGTCATGCTGCGGAAGGCGAGACAGAGCGTCAGCCAGCAAGTTCAATTTCCCGGGGAGGTGTTGGAGGGTGAACCGAAATTTAGAGAAAAACTCCACCCAGCGGAGTTGCTTGGCATTCAAGCGCCTGGGCATGCGTAATGCCTCCAAATTCTTGTGGTCTGTCCATACCTCAGATGGCACCCTCACCCCCTCCAGCCAGTGCCTCCAGGTTGTCGTGGCCAGTTTGATAGCGGCCACCTCTTTGTCCCAAATAGCCCAATTGCACTCCGTGGGGGAGAACTTCCTGGACACATATGCTAGGGGGTGGAGCTTCTCATCCTCCCCCTGTTGCAGGATTGCCCCTCCCATCACCACATCCAAGGCGTCGACTTGGATTATAAAAGGTTTATTTTTGTCAGGATGATTTAAAATGGGCTCTGAAGTAAACAACCTATTGAGGTTCTCAAAGGTCTGTTGGCACTCTGGGGTCCAGTCCAGTTTGGCACCTGGCTCTTTACTGTCGGGACCCTTCCCCTTCGTTCTTAACAAGTCAGTAAGGGGTAGGACTACTTGGGCGAAGTTGGGGATGAATTCGCGGTAGAAATTTGAAAAACCGAGGAATGCTTGGAGTTGGCGCCAGGTGCGGGGGGCCTCCCACCCCACCATGTCCTGTACTTTCTGGGGGTCCATGCCCAATCCCTTCCATGAAATCCGATAGCCTAGAAAATCCAGTTCATCCTTATGAAACCTGCACTTGGAGAGTTTAACAAAGAGCTGGTGCTCGTAAAGGGTCTGGAGTACTTCCCTGACCAACTGTACATGCAACTCTTTATCTTTTGAATAAAGTAAGATATCATCTAGATACACTAGCACCCCCTTGAATAAATGCTTGTGCAACACCTCGTTAATTAAATTCATAAAAACCCCAGGAGCTCCCACTAACCGAAATGGCATCACCAAGTATTCAAACTGTCCTAACGGGGTGTTGAACGCTGTTTTGTGTTCATCCCCCTCCCGAATATGCACTCTGTATTACGCCTCTCATAAGTCCAGCTTGGTGAAAATGCGCCCCTGGGAAGCTTCTGCCAGGAGCTCTTTGATGAGCACAAGGGGGTAGGCATTGGACATTGACACTGCATTTAAACCCTGGTATTCTGTGCACAGTCGCAACCCACCATCCTTCTTCTTCCAGAAGAGGATGGGGGCGGCAAAGGGGGAGGAGGTTGGGCGGATAAAATTTCGGGCGAGGTTCTTATCAATAAACCTGCATAGCTCCTCCTTTTCAGTTGGGCTCATAGAGTATAGCTTCCCTTTGGGCATTTTGTGCCCTAGCTAAATTTCTATTGCACAGTCTGACTTTCAGTGTGTGTGTGTGTGTGTGTGGGAGCTCATCAGCCTCCTCCTCCTCAAACACTATAGTCAAGTCTCTATATTCAGGAGGGATGAGATCGAGCTCTCCTTGAGCCAAACAAACACACTCTAAAACAGGAGTTGGCATCCCCCCCCACTCAGGATTCCACCCATGGACCTTGCATCACGGGTCTGGGAAGTGTAGGGACCCTCCACTCCATTGAACGAATGGGTCATGATCTCATAGCCAATGGTTGCCCAGTACCATCGAGAATTTTGTGGCAGGGGTAATAATGAAGGGACCCTGTCCCCATTACCATGGGCACAGTTTGATACTTGCATGCCTCTTTCATTGGGGTCCCATCCATCTGTGTGAAAACTATAGA